TCCACAGCACACTGGCCAAAGTGATCCCTGAGTAGCGCAACGTAGCTCTTCCACAGCACATTTACCGAAGTGATCCCAGGATAGTTGTAGAGTTGTAATGTACTTATCAAGCCGTTTTTTTTTTTTTTTCGGTGGCGGCTGTTGCCGTTGGCGCGGGCGAAGCTGCTGGCAGAGCACTTCACAACTTGCGTGTGGATGCTCAGATTTTTCCCCACCCGTAGGACTGTGGGGTTGTTAGATTTTTAGAACTTTGGACTTCAGCACGCCCGGTAGCCCAACTTAGCTCTTCCACAACACACTGGCCAAAGTGGTCCCTGAGTAGCGCAACTTAGCTCTTCCATAGCACATTGGCCAAAGTGGCACAGCACACTCACCAAAGTGGTCCCTGAGTAGCCCAAAGTAGCTCTTCCACAGCACACTGGCCAAAGTGGTCCCTGAGTAGCCCAACTTAGCTCTTCCATAGCACACTCACCAAAGTGGTCCCTGAGTAGCCCAACTTAGATCTTCCATAGCACACTGGCCAAAGAGGTCCCTGACTAGCGCAACTTAGCTTTTCCACAGCACACTGGCCAATGTGGTCCCTGAGTAGCGCAACTTAGCTCTTCCACAGCATACTGGCCAAAGTGGTCCCTGAATAGCCCAACTTAGATCTTCCACAGCACACTGGCCAAAGTGGTCCCTAAGTAGCGCAACTTAGCTCTTCCACAGCACACTGGCCAAAGAGGTCCCTGACTAGCGCAACTTAGCTTTTCCACAGCGCACTGGCCAAAGTGGTCCCTGAGTAGCCCAACTTAGCTCTTCCACAGCACACTCACCAAAGTGGTCCCTGAGTAGCCCAACTTAGATCTTCCATAGCACACTGGCCAAAGTGGTCCCTGAGTAGCGCAATCTAGCTCTTCCACAGCACAATGGACCAAAGTGGTCCCTGAGTAGCCAACAGTAGCTCTTCCACAGCACACTCACCAAAGTGGTCCCTGAGTAGCCCAAAGTAGCTCTTCCACAGCACGCTGGCCAAAGTGGTCCCTAAGTAGCCCAGCTTAGCTCTTCCA